AATAAAAAATGAATTTAGAAAAAATACTTTTGTATAATCTTGAATAGTAAATTTTAGTCCTATAAAATAATTGGCTTTTATAAAAAATGAAAAATGGCAGGACAAAGACTTGGGGGTTAAAAAAATGAAAAGAAAATCTAAACAAGCCAAAAAGCATTTATGAAAAATGGGCCTATGAGAAAAGTTTTATGAATAATCAGTTTGGCTGGGATTAAAAAAAAATAGTCTATAAGTGGTTTTCTAAAATTTAAACATTGGTGTTGGAGGTGTACTGATACAGGACGAGAGTTTGGTCTTCTAAATTTAAAACAAGATTTTCTTGAAGTATTTATCTGCTCCTAATAAAATTATAAGAAGCTTTCATTTTGAACTCTAAAATCGATTTAACAGCTGTCTTCTAAATTGTAGGCAGTTTCTATTTTCACTGAGATTTATTTAATTTCCCTAGTTTCACATTTAAAAATGCTGTCTTCTTCATTTAAAATAGCAATTTCATTGCTTTTTTTTTTTAGACAGGGTTTCACTTTGTTGTCCATGCTGGAGTGTAGTTGGATGATCATGTCTCATTGCAGCCTCGACCTACTGGGCTCAAGCAATCCTCCAACCTCAGCCCCTTAGTAGCTGAGACTAAAGGCACATGTAACCACACCAGCTAATTTTTGTATTTTTTGTAGAGACAGGATTTTGCCATGTTGTCCAGGCTGATCTCTAACTTCTGAGGTCAAGCGATCTTCCCATTTTGGCCTCTCAAAGTGCTTGGATTACAGACACTGCATCAGTCTGATAATATAATTTCTTGAGGTAGTTTTACTTTTGAAATTTCTTAGATTCATATCTCAGCGGTTCAAATATGCTATGTTTGCTATTTGATTTGTAGGTCAGTTTCTCCTCTTTAGAAAGTCTGGGATGGTAACTCTCCCCTTCAATTTTTTCATCAGTTGCTATACCGAGTACCAGCTCAGCTGGGAGACCCCCACCCAGGCAGCGCTGAAGGCAAATGAGAGACAGATTCTCAGATAGAACAGCAACGTGGATCTATTGAGAGCCTCAGGGGCTTACAGCATTCCAGATTGAAGACCCCAAGCAGATTCTCATCCATGTAGTTCTTCTTAACAGGTGACCATTATTAGTTAACAGGTGTTCCGTATTCACTCATAACTCAAAAAAATTCCACGTAGGTAGCTGTTACCTCTTACCGCTAATTACAAAGTAAAAGGTATTCTCCACAAGGGAGCCATGGGGCAGGGCAAATGTTTTTCAGTATTGCTGTAAATTTTTTTTGTTCCAACTGCTGGCACAGCCTGACACTAAAATGTTTATCCTGAAGGCCTAAAAATCAATGCTCTTTTTCAATGTAACTTGATTCTGTACTCTTGGCTTTTCTTGATACATCTGAATTTTTATAATCATGACCTGGGACACATCTTCCTGTATCTGATTCAATTCAAATACCTTTTTCATCAGATTAGACTTCCAGGTTATCTAAATGAGCTCCCCAAAGGAAAAACAATCACACTGCAGAAAGTTTTTCTTTAGTTTTTTGGTACCTGGCTTAAGGATGATTATACATTTTATCAACATAATTTCCTGTGCTGATTTCTTTGTTGGATTTTTTTTTAACCTGAGGTTTAAAATGGTTAAGAAAATTTTAACATAATTATTTGTATGTCTTTTTAAGCCTTTCTGATTATCACTCTGGTTATATGAACGACTTATTTCACAAGTAGCTTGTGATTCTGTATTGATAAAGTGTTTTGAGCCTTTTAAAAAATTTCTTAAAAATCAAATTCCAATTTAAGTTTTTTAAATATAGAATTAACTTTGGCATTTTCCAGTTGGACTCCTGGAAAGCATTAAAAGATATCTTTCTTATCTTGGAGAGGTTATGTGGTAAATTTTATAAGAAACATTGTCAAACAATAACTGATGATTTTCTTTTATTTGCATTTATGGGAATGTTGATATGAATGTTTGAAAAATTATATAAGTTTATATAAGTCTGCTGGGAATGATGGCTCATGCCTATAAATCCCAACACTTTTGGAGGTTGAGGTCAGAGGATTGCTTATAGCCAGGAATTTGTAACCAGCCTGGGCAACAAAGCAAAACCCTATCTCTAGTGGGGGTTGGGGGGAGAATCCAAGCATGGTGGTACATACCTGTAGTTCCGGCTACTTGAGAGCCTGAGGCAGAAGGATTGCTTGAGCCCAGAACTTTCAGGCTGCAGTGAGCTATGAACGTGCCACTGCACTTTAGCCTGTGCAATAGAGTGAGACTCCATCTTTAAAAAAAAATTCATACAAATCTATTATATTACCAGTCTTACTTATGGTTGTAATCTTAAGATACTGTATACAATAGCAATAAATAAATGTTCTCCTCAATTGTTAACTTCCTCAGATTTTTAACCATGGCTATTTTAAGGTTTTGTCATTCATGGTTATTGTTTTGAATTTTTTTTTTTTTTAAGAAACAGATTCATGTAAAATATTCTAACAAGTACTCTTTTTTTTTTTTTTTTTTTTTTTTTTGAGACAGTCTTGCTCTGTTGCTCAGGCTAGAGTACAGTGGTGCAATCCTGGATCACTGTGACCTCTGTCTCCCAAGTTCCAGTGATTCTCATGCCTCAGCCTCCTGAGTAGCTGGGACTACAGGAATGCACTATCACTATGGATTTTTTTTTTTTTTTTTTTTTTTTTAGGAGAGACGGGGTTTTGCTATGTTGGCCAGGCTGGTCTTGAACTCCTGGTTTCAAATGATCCTCTTGCCTTGGCCTCCCAAATTGCTGGGATTACAGGCATGAGCCATTGTGCCAAACTCTAAAAAGTACTCTTAAATACAGGTTTCTGATAACTTTAAGATCAATGTACAAAATAACAATTTCCAGAACTGTAATAAAAAAATAGGTTCACGAAACTATTAATCAAGATCAGGCAGAACAAAAATTAATTACATGAGTTTAAATAAATAATGAAGACAATGTTTTTATTCTACTTGAAATGTTGTAGGTTCATTACTCAAATGTTTTCCAGATTTAAGAAAATCTTGTCTCTTAAGTGATTTATAATTTACAGCAATTTGATTAAGTATACTTGCATAAACAAAGATAAAAATTTTCTCTTGATCCCTCCATAATTAGAAAACTATTTGTGAGGCTTCTTATGGTAATAAGGTCGCTTCAATAAGTCTAATAAAAATCTGCTCTCTCTGTACAGCAGAATGCAATTAGAAACTGGTTTTATTACCAAGGCTTTGACTGGAAGGGCATTTTTGAAACTATTGAGGCTGGGCGCGGTGGCTCAGGCCAGCAATCCCAGCAGGTTGGGTGGCTGAAGTGGGTGGATCGTTTGAGTCCAGGAGTTAGAGAGCAACCTGGATATGGTGATACTCCCTCTCTACAAAAAATACAAAAATTAGCCAGGCGTGGTGGTCTGTGCCTGTAGTCCCAGCTTACTGGGAAGGTTGAGGTGGAAGAATCGTTTGAGCCCGGGAAGCTGAGGCTTCAGTTCTTCTGTGAGCGGTGATCGTGCCACTGCATTCCAGTCTGGGCGACCCTGTCAGCGATTCCCTGTCTCAGTAAAAACAAACAAACAAAACCTAAAACTAGAATGATATTCTCTACTGGGAATGTGGATTTGTGGTGAAATACAGGAAATTTAAAGCTTACGCTAGAATTCATTGAAAAAAGCAAAAAAAAAAAAGAAAAAAAAAAAACCCCTTCAAGGTTGGCTATATTGAATTTGAATGCAAAGATTAAAAAAAAAAGGCAAAACACAGAAAACAAAAGACAAGACATAGATCCAACCCCATATACCAGGAAATACACTCTAAGGTATATACGAAAAATATATTTAACACGTGTGTATCAGGACGCAGGTACGAGTAACTTCAAAGCAGCGCTGTTTCAAATAGTAAAAGGAAAAACTGGAAACTGTTCAAAATCTCCATCATCTCGATGATCTTTGTCTTGCGCGTCCAGTCTTCAATGTGAATAATGTACTGGACCAGCACTACCCCCGCTACCAGGGCGCACAAGCTGGCGCTCGCTACACCACCTACCCTCGCCAGGGCCGCACGGTCCACGGACCGGGCCCTCACGCACGTCCCAGCAGGAAAAAACCAGACGACTCGGGGCGATAGCGACTCTCAGAAGCGCGGGATCTTAGAGCACCGTGGACAAGCCCGCGACGCCCAGTCCCACTAAGCCCCACCCACACGCGCTGAGGGGAGGGGGCGGGCTCACGGCCGGAGGGGCGTGGCATGAGCCCGAAGCCCAGCCGGGAGGCGGGCCTTCCTTGAAGAACTGCTGCCAGGACTGGGCAGAGGATTGCAGTAATTACCCTTCTCTGCTAATGAGGACTAGTTCGTGGTTCACTCGAGCCCTGCCCCAGTAGAAATCTGATTCCAACCGCTGCTCGCTCAGAAGTCGGTCTCCGCCTTCTTGCCTCAGCCGCTCTGGACTCCAACCCCCAGAAGACGGCGCGGCGCGGCGTGACCTGCGCAGTGGCATCCGTTGTAAGTGCTATGACAACCGGGCGAAGATGGCTCAGAGTTAGGCTGGAGAGGGGAGGTGTCCCTTCCGCTGCGGCCGTCGGGTTTCTGCTGCATCCCACTCACCGCCTCCTCCATCCTTTCCTCCTCTGTGTGAGCAGAAGGACTTGCAGTTGTTCTTGTCTGCCTAGAGTCTTCCAAGGGATAGATGCCGTTTCCTCTGCTGCTCTCTGGGGGTGACGGGGGGCGCAGGGGAGCTTTTTGGGGGAATTGCTCCAACTCTGTGGAGCTAGTGGTGCTGCCTGGTGGAGCTTTCTCTTTGCCCGGGACGTGGAACAAGTTCGAACGCGAGAACGAGAGGGAATAGTAAAGCTAAAGGTTGCTTTCCCTGCACCCTCTCTTCTTGCTCCCTCTGCTCCGTCACTGGGACCTTGTCAGGCGTTCATAAAGGGAAATTTTCGGAACTAAGGTTCACAGAAAGGTGGGGCAGAGCTCATCTTACGTGGCATCAGGTAAGATCGTTTGTCTGGTGTTAAACTTCGGGTACATGAATGCCATTTCCATGTTTTGTGACCAGATCCTCCGATGCAATATAATGGTTTGGGGGCTATAAGGTGATTGATTTCTTGGGAAGATGTTTGCATTCAAATAAACAAACTCTAGGAGCACAAAGTGTGTGAGATTCTGTGAACATCTTTGAGAAAAGGGGGAGGAGAATTTTTAAGGATTCCATTGAGGAACGTCACGTGGAGCATCAGCATCCTCCTGAGACGCTTCAACAGGTTTGTGAGGAGATGGTCAAAGCAGTTCCCAGCCTATGACTGAAGTAGGATGAATGTACTAATACTCCCTGATCCTTTTCGTAATAGGATTATTGTTTCTCCTCTTTTTACTTGGAGACCACAGCAGTTTAGATGAACTGTACTGATTTTATGAGCAACTCCTGCCAGTCAAATCCTGCATTTGACTTCAATTTCCTGGAAAAATGTATATATATGTATATTTTGGTATCTCACTTTTATTTTAAAAATGAAGCTGTATCTTATAGGTATACACATCTTACACATACTCATTGATAAACAACTTGAAAGATGCTGCAGGATAAGCTATGAGTCTTAAGTTGGCCAGCATATAGCGAGAGAAAGATTTTCTAACTTAGCATTTTCTAAAGAAAATAATTGCTGAGATTTTTTTCTTGAAAAAAACTGAAGAATTAAGAAACTTTAGGAAACCAAGAAGTTTTTAAAGAATAATTTAAAAAACCTTTATTTGTTAAAATAGCCACCTCTTAAATGAAACCTAAATCTGAGTAAACTCGTTTTGGAAAATAACATGCATATACATAAGTATTCAAGAAAGTGTCAAATGAAAAGTATAGAAGAGAATTTCTAGAGTTTAGGGGGTAAGGAGATTATCTCCCATTTATTATTCTAATAAGGTATTAGAAACTAATCTGTTGTGCCTATTTATAGGAAGGCACCTGTTAAAACCTTCAAATTATTGTTTTCTAATCATCTTTTAACAATTTAATCAAATGTATTAAATGTATTTAATCAAATGTATTCACTACAGTTTGAACTTGTAGTGATTAGAATTGGTGTGAATAGAGCTATTGCTTTATCGTCTACATGGAGGAGGGTGTGCATAGGCTGTTTGTTTAGGGTTCTGGAGTAGACAGTCTAGGTACCACACATCATTTAACTAGTGAGACCACTGGGGCAGGTTGCTTAACCTCTCTGTATTCAAGGATACTTGAATAATAGTATCTACAATTTACTTTGTTGTTTTGTTATGAAGATTAAGATAGTATGCTTGCAAAGCATTTAGAATCTTGATTGGGCTTTAGTAAATGATTAGTAGACATTTTCCTTTAAGGTGAAGTCATTAAAAACCTGATTTTGGGTTTTTATTTTCCAAGTACTTAAAGAAAAATCAGTGAGAAACTGGAAATCAACATTGAATGAAAAGGGGATAAAATGCAAACCTTGGTTTCTTATTTTTATTTAAGACAGTTAACTGAATTAAAAAAATCAATGTATATATATTTTATTTTTTGTTCTTTAGAACACTTTTTGTTTATTTTTGTAACCTGAAAGCCAGGTTTCATGACTGAAAAATATTTTATTAGTATTGTTCCTTACTATCCTTCCTCCTAACCTATCAGTACCAGACCCAACTGCTTATCTTAATATCTCAATGTCAAGGCCTATGTCTTTCTTAGATTGGAATACAAGTTGGCATTTTATTTGTGTCTCAATTTATGGCTAATTTTTCATTTTCTTGATGGCTTGGGTTGTCTTCTAGGAGAAAGGGTAGAATTTATTTTGCTAACTTTCTGAATTTAATTTGCTATTGTTCTTTTTTTCATATTAAAAAAGTTTTAATCATTTTTATTTTTTCTGCCATGCTGGGCTAATATCTTTACTTGTTGTAGAGACGAAGTCTCACTATGTTGCCCAGGCTGGTCTTGAACTCCTCAGCTCATGTGATCCAACTGCCTTGGCCTCGCATAGTGCTGGGATTACAGGTGTGTGTGCCACTGTGCCTGGCCTATTGTTCTTAAATAGCAGTAAATGTGGCCAAAATACAGGAGTGTTCTACTTAAAAAAAAAAAAAAGTGAAACTTTATTTTTTTTGTGGAATTTGAAGCACAAGCAAAAGTATAAGGAATAACAAAATGAAGCCCCATGTATTTATTCATCACCATTTTTTCTCTTTAAAAAAAAACAGCTTCCTTGAAATATAATTCAAGTACTGTACAATTCACCCATTTAACACAAAATTCAGTTCCTTTTTTGTATATTCACAAATACGTGCAATCATTACCACAGTCAAGTTTGGAATATTTTTATCAATACAAAAAGAAACCTCACATCCTTTAGCTATAACTTTCCTTCCGTCTTCCTTCTCCCCTACCCCCAGACCTAAGCAACTACTATGACTTTTGGTCTCTATGAATTTGCCTATTCTGGATATTTTATATAAACAGAATCGTATAATAGGTGGCCTTTTGTGTCTGGCTTCTTACACTTAGCATGATTTTAAAAGCCAGGTATATCTGATTTTAAAACCTATATGCTCTTCATTTATGTTGTAACATATATCAGTATTTTGTTCTTTTCTTTTTTATGGCCAAGTAATATCCCACTGTATAGATACTGCCTTTTGTTTATATATTCATCAGCTGATGGACATTTGGGTCGTTTCCAAATTTTGGCTATTATGAATAATGCTACTACAAATATCTATGTATAAGTTTTTTTGTGTGGACATTTGTTTTCATTGCTCTTGGATAGATACTTTAGAGTCAAATTTATATGTCATATGATAATTCTATGTTTAAGTGTTAGAGGAACTTCTAGATTCTTTTCCAAAGTGGTTGCATCATTTTGCATTCCGACTAGCAGTACGTGAGGGTTCTGATTTCTCTGTATCCTCACCAACATTTATTACTATCTGACTTCTTCAATTCTGTCATAGTAGGTGTAAAGTGGTATCTCATAGTTTTGATTTGTGTTTCCCTGATGACTAATGATGCTGAGCATCTTTTTTTTTTTTTATTGTGATGGAGTTTTCCTCTTGTTGCTCAGGATGGAGTGTGATGGTGGTCTTAGCTCACTGCAGCCTCCACCTCCCAGGTTCAAGCAATTCTCCTGCCTCTGCCTGCCAAGTAGCTGGGATTACAGGCACCTGCCACCATGCCTGGCTATTTCTTTTTTTTTTTTTTTTTTTTTTTTTTTTTAGTAGTGACAAGTTTTCACCATGTTGACCAGGCTGATCTTGAACTCCTGACCTCAGGTGATCTGTGTGCCTTGGCCTCCCAAAGTGCTGATATTACAGGTGTGAGCCACTGAGCCCGGCCTTGAGCATCTTTTTATGTTCTTATTAGCCATTTGTATATCTTACTTGGAAAAATACATATTCAGACCCATGGTTCATTTTTAATTGGACTTTTAAAAAAATTGAGTTGTATGAGTTCTTATATATTAACGATATAAGTTTCTTATCAGATATATGATTTGCAAATATTTTCTCCTATCATTTCATCTTCTTGATGGTGTTCTTTGAAATCCAAAAGTTTTTAGTTTTGATGAAGTCTATTTATTTATTTTGTTTTTTGAGATAGAGTCTCACTCTGTTGCCCAAGCTGAGGTGCAATGGCATGATTTTAGCTCACAGCAACCTCAAACTCTTGGGCGCAAGCCTTAAACTCCAGCCTCAGTCTCTCAAGTAGCTGGGACTATAGGCACACACACCATGCCCAGCTAATTTTTTATTTTTTGTATAGATGGGGTCTCGCTTTGTTGCCCAGGCTCCTCTCAAACTCTCAGCCTCAAGCAGTTTGCCTGCCTTAGCCTCCCAAAGTGCTGGGATTACAGGCATCAGCCACTGCACCTGGCTTTATTTATTTATTTTAAGACAGAGCCTTGCTCTGCCATCCAGGCTGGAGTGCAGTGGTGCAATCACAGCTCTCAGTAGCCTCAGCCTCTCAGTGTCAAGCGATTCTCCCACCTCAGCCTCCCCAGTAGCTGGGACTACAGGCACATACCATCACACTTGGCTAATTTTTATATTTTTTGTAGTGATGGGGTCTCATCATGTTGCTAAGACTGTTCTGAGACTCCTGGCTCAAGCAATCCTCCTACCTCAGCCTCCCAAAGTGTTGGAATTACAGGCGTGAGCCACCATGCCTGGCCCTTATTTTTTTTATTGCTCATGTTTCTGGTGTCAAATCTAAAAATCCATTGCCAAATCTGAGGTCATAAAGATTTACTTATATAGTCCTCTAAGAGTTTTATACTTTTAGCTATACATTAGTTTATACTTAGATCTTTGACACATTTTAATTTAAAAAATATGATTCTAGGTAAGTGTCTAATTTCAGTCCTTTGCATGTGGCTATTCAGTTGTTTTAGACCCATTTGTTTCAATTACTCGTTGAATGATCTTGGCACCCTTATTGAAAATCAATTAATCATAGATGTGTGGGTTTATTTCTGGACTGTCAGCATTTTCCATTTATCTTTATGTCTATCCTTATGCTAGTGCCATACTGGCTTAATTATTGTTGCTTTAGTAAGTTTTGACATGGGGAAGTGTGAGTTCTCTACCTTTGTTCTTTTTAAATTTTAAGATTGTCTTTGCTATTCTGGGTTTCTGGAAATTCCATACAAATTTTAGAATAACCTTGTTTATTTCTACAGAGAAGCCATCTGGGAATCTTACAGGGATTGCATTGAATCTGTTGATTGATTTGGAAATTATTGCGATCCTAACAATATTAAATCATGAACAGGGGATATTTTCCATTTATTTAGATCTTCTTTATATAGCAATGTTTCATAGTTTTCAAAGTATAAGTTTTATACTTCTTTTGTTAAATTATTTATTCCTAAGTTTTTTTTTTTTTGAGCTGGAGCTTGCTCTGTTGCCCAGGCTAGAGTGTACTGGTATGATCATAGCTCACTATAATCTTGAACTCCTGAGCTGAAGTGATCCTCTTGCCTCAACC